GGAGGATGGAATGGTATAAAAAGACATTTTGATCGGCCAAAATATATTCAATGTGTGAAAGATGTGTTTGGTTCTGTTCCACCTATTGCATCAAATGAATAATCACTACCTTTGTCAAACACTAAAAATGCTAATAGTGTATGTTCAGCAATTTAACAACTATTTTTAACGAAGAAAAATTCGAATATAGCGCATGTGATTTACTTGAATGTGATGAAGAAAAACAAGTAAAGCATTGCTCAGTAAATATTGAAATCATTCTATATTTATTTTTCTATTTAGACGAAAGTTCAACTTTATTGTGATGTTAATGTTGTTCATGTTACTCCATCTAGTATAAAAGTTATGCGACGTGAGCGGACTGAAGGTCATCGTGCTCTACGTCACCGTATGTTTACTGATGCTGATGAGTTTTGTTTAGTGTATTTTAAACCAGAACCAGATAAAAAATATATTAATAAGGATGACAGTTACAAGACTGTTTTGAAATCGGGTATTCTTATATGTAATATTCGTTAGCGATTTTTTGGTGCATCTAACTTGCAACTACGTGAATATAGTTATTGGTTTATAAGAGCAAAATCTATCGAAGAAGTCGATCAAAAACGAACACAATTAGGTGATTTTAGTCATATTAAGAATGTTGAAAAATGTGTTGCACGATTAGGTCTTTGGTTTTCAAAGACTATTCCAACAAGAGTAAGTATGTTTTATTTTCGATCTTTCTATCCTAAGATACGGCTATGGTAAAAGCAGTTTTTACATAGGTCATGTACATCAGTAGATTGGATGTTCATATTTCAGGAGAAGAGCAAATCACAAGATCTGAAACTGTCGCAATATACTATTTTCTTTAAGATCTATTTCTGTGCAAAGTTTCAAGTCGAAATTCGAAAAATCGGCTTTCTGGTGTTTCTGAGGAAGACCACGGTATTCTGTTAGAAAAAAAAAACGTAAAAATGCAGTATCTCGACATGAATACCATATAAGCCCGAACTATTTTCAGAGTATTAATAGCTCACTAGGAACTACATGCTGTACATAGTCTCGACTCAAAAGCGATTTAACAATTCATTGCCTTCCCTCGTATGTATGTTTTGGTTTGTTTAATTTTTAGATGACACTCAATTATACTGTAAATGATTTCGATCGACAAGTTCAAAATGGCAACTATTGTGTTACAAAAATCAATGGTATTGAACGTAATGGTTATTGTTTTACAGATGGAAACGGATTTATATCAAAAGGTTTAGCAAGACTTATTGCAGAAAAACTTGGTTATCGTATTAAAACGATGAATCAAGTGTGTAGATTGTATATTTTTGAATTTGTTCATCTTTTAAAATTATTCTAGGATATATATCCGTCCGCTTATCAAATTCGACTTGCTGGTTGTAAAGGTCTTGTTGTTGTAGAACTGCAATCGACATTGGATCAATTTTATATTAAAATTCGTGAATCAATGGAAAAATTTAAATTAAACGAATGGAATTTGGAAATTCGTGAAGGTAGTCGATCAAGTATGCTAGATTTCAAATATAAAAGTAGATCAGAATCAGAAAAATATATGCATATAGATATGTAGGCAAGTTATGAAACTATAAATGAAAAATTCTTCGATTAAAATCGATCGATTTTGAGAGCAAAAAGAAAGCCTATAATTGAATCAATATAAGAAAAAGGAGTGTTTGTCTGATGCAAACAAATTGAATTATTTTAAATAGTTGTTGAAAAGCAAAGATAAGAGTTTATTATCAGATAAATAATACTCGATTTCGAATAAATATATTCAAAATTTGCATTCATTTAAATCTGATAATTTTGAAAGTAGTCTCGTTCGTTAGTAGATAAAAAAACTGATGTTTATTATTCAAAATATCTGTGATGCTTTGTAATATTATGTTTTTGAATATGCAGATTTGTGTTTTCAAAGTGACGAGCTTGTCTTTTAATAAGTCAATTAATAATTGGTTGTAACTCTTTTTGCAAAGAATATATATCGAATTTTTTATTCGAATTAATCAGATCTCATTTGAGATTGACACCATTTTGTCGACGTTTTGAAATAAAAAACATTAATTGCCTATTTGTTACATTTTTTTTTGTCAACGATTCGGATAAGAATTTAGTTCAATAATTCGTGTCATTATTATTAGAGTATGTTTATCAACAAGTAGGATACCTAATCAATATTTATTTATAACTATAGATCATTGATTTAAACCGACAGGTTTATTTTATTTGAGGAATGATAACCAAAGTCTCGGCAATCTTAGTACGAAACAATCAATGAAAATACTAGTTTAAATTTGACCATCGATTTCTAGATTGTCTTAATTGAAAAGATTTTTCAAAATAGCTTCTTACGATATGTTAAATCAATTGATCTATATGGCTTATGAGAATAAAAATTTAGGACCAATCATCTATATCATTACAACCTGTTCTTCAGTTTTTAATCGATTTAATAAATTCAATATTTTTACAATAACTATAAGAGATTCATTTTATAAATCATCACTAAGTAGTTAACATATCTAAATAGACGTAGACATTAATTTACCTGAGTTTTCATTGTTTAAAATTTTATGTCTAGATAAAACTAGTTTTTATTCTATTGTAGTTCCGACGAGACTCAATAATCAAATTCTTTTAATTATGTCGGATCTTGGTGTATCCGACGAGACTTTTCTTAATCTACAAGATAAATGGTTTCAAGATAAAGAGCGACCACCAGGCGCTGTCGAGTACAGACATTAGTTTTATTCATTTAATTTGATCAAATATCGATGTCTGTTTTCTGTTTTGCTTTTTCATGTAGGGATCTTTTGAAAAATAAGTTACCATTATCAGTGAACGAATGCCGATTTATGTTTGGTTGTGCATTCGAATCCGTACTTGGACCAGGACAATGCTTTATTCGATATCAAGTTGTCGACAAAGATGGAAAACCATTGAAAGAGCCTCAATTTAAAACTGTTGTAGGACCAGTTATTGTGACAAAGAATCCATGGTACGTTTTATATTATTTTTTTCCTACTGGTTTTCTAAAGTTTAATAATCAATATTCTAGTCCTTATGCCAGCTATATGCTTGTACTAGAAGCTGTCGATTGTTCTGAACTGAATTGTCTTGCTGATGTGATTGTATTCTCGACTGATGATAATCGTAAGTAGTCGAATTCTGTTTGTTTTTGGATGTTGAATTCAATATCAATATTATTATAGGACCTGATTCAGATAAAATTTCTGGTTCCGATCTAGATAGTGATCATTATTTTGTACGTATTTTTATCAAATATTTTGTCGATAAAATAATATGTTATTCTTTTTTTCTTATTGTTGTATTTCAAAGGTTTATTGAGGTCAAGATTTGCAATTATCTCGAAAAGTTGAACCACTTGATTATGCATCATTAGCAAAAACGACTTCTGTAGACCCTAAACCTAAAACTTATTATAATATCATCAAACATTGTTATTTATTATTGGGTGCAACAAATTATGGTGAAATTTATAATCTACATGCAACTGTTGTTGATAAAAATCTAGAAAAATGTCCTCAACGTACATGTCAAAAAGTTGCTATTGAACTGGCAAACATGTTTTCAATAGCCAATGAGTATAATCTAAATTTAAAATAATTTTAGTATTCGTTTTCGGTTATTAATTATAGTCGATGCTTCAAAAAGCGGCTCTGCTATTAATCGAAAATAGTTAAGTGAAATACGAAAGCCATATGGTTATATATATCCCGATTTTCTAATGAAAGATCGTTCATATGAATCCCAATCTATTGCTAGTAAAATCTATCGACGAGCTGTTGTATATAAAAATGCAAATCCTAATCGTTTATACAACTCAGACATGGATTTACGTGCGAATTCATCGAATAATGTAAATATGTTTTTAAATCTTATAAAATTTCAGGAATCAAAGGAAACTGATTAATAATGAAAGATTATGTTTGTAATTCATAGAAATAAGAATAACTTGAAACGAGAAGTAGATTTTATAGTTAAAAAAATTCTGTCAAGTACTATTGAGTAATTTTAGTCATATGCAATCGGAGAATAGTGTTAACATCTAAAACTGTTTTAGAGAATTCTGACTAGCGAAGGACATGTCTTATTATACGGAATAATGTGGGTGTGGATGTGGGTGGGTGTGGGTGTGGGTGTGGGTGTACGTGCGAAAAAGGATGAAGGGAAAATCAACACCCACACCACAGTCTCACCCACTCCCACACCCGTACGCACACCCACACCCACATCCCACACTCACACACTCACGCCCACACCACAGCCTCACCCACTCCAACACCCACACCCACACCCACCCACACCCACACCCCACACCCACACCCGCACCAAAATCTGAGGATAAGGATGCCTTTATTGCGCTTTAATTTATTTTCTGTGAACCAGTGCAGTTTAAAATATATAACTATGCACAAAATTTGTCAATATTCGAAGCAGAAGAAAATTATAATTATTGATATATCTTGTTTCAACAAACGTTTATTTCTCGAGGGCATGATCCATTTACTATCGCTGTCTCTCCATACGTGACTATAATGTTGAATATGATCATAAGAATCAAGTTACTCTACGTGTCTACATTTTGCCTTTTTTTCTCTTTCTACCTGTAGGTAATAATATTAATGAGATTGGTTGTCATTTGATGCTAGGTGTGAAAGTGATATAGTTCGGAAATGTGGACGAATATTGCAGCTATCTTTATTTTAATCTTTATCGGCTCGTATGGTCGAATTCTTCTTTATAATACTGAGAACAATCCAGCGACAGAGAAGTTTGATTGTGTGTACTATATAAATGAAACTGTGCTGGATATTTCATATTGTCGACGTCTAGATAGAAGTGAAAAGCTTGATCGAAAGAAGCAAAAGTGTGAGAATCAAGGAGAAATAAAATTGTTTCGCGATCTACTCACTCAAGGTATCACTCCAAATGACGTTCTCGACTGGAGTTCAAGTGTAGAAATGGCCGATATGTATGCGCGTGTCTTCTACAATAGATTATTAGTTAAAGATGACGATGATCGATTTCTATGTAACTGTACAATATCAGGAACATTCGGTAAATATTGTGAGTATCAGTTGACACATGGCGCAACATCATTCAGTCAGGCAATCGAAGCTCAGTTTCGACAAAAAGCCGATGACTCATGGAATACACAACGTTACGGAAGTATTCTCTGCTATGGCACACTACCCTGTAGCTCAAATAATTTCTGTCTCGATTGGCGGGATATTTGTGATGGTATTCAACATTGTGCCGGTGGTATCGATGAAGAAAACTGGGATAAATTGGAATTCAATGAATGTGAGGAAGATGAATTTCGATGTACCAATGGCATGTGCATTCCAGAAGAATTCTGGCTTGATGGTCAGTATATATACGTCTAGAAGGATGTTTTATTTTATTTATTCTTTTTACAGGTAACTGCGATTGTATGGACTGGAGTGACGAATTGGATTGTCTTAGAAATCGAGGATCATGTTCTCTCGGTCCATATGCAATGGAATGTGATGAACGTATATGCGAGCGTAATGAATACTTTTGTGGTGATGGGGAATGTATTGATTGGTTTACTCGTATAGCATTTGAACGATCGATGACAGTGGGGAAAGACTGTTTCAATAAGCGCAATCTAAATTATATGTGTGAACTGAGCCGGTTTCGACGTGCATGGACACTTGAAAGCGGATTATGTTGGCCAGATGAAAACTATAATGATATTCGATATCCTTCGTGGAACATGATTCATTTATCAAATTTATCAAATAATGAAATATGTGATTACCTATTTCGATGTGTTTTGACAGATGGTCTTGAACGTGACTGTCCATGCAACTACCAAAATTGTACAAAAATGATGCTAAGTGTATGTCCCTTATCAGATTATTATGTTCTCTATCCTCCCCAAGGATTGATCAATCCGTATTATTCGTTTTACTTCGACTATAGTCAATCTACGAAAAATCCAAATGCTGTCATTTGGACAATAAGTGGATCTATAAGATGTCGAGGATATCTTTTTAGGGTTGATGTGGGTTTAACGTCTTGGTTCAGGTTTGGTTGGTTCCCAACTGCTAACACTTACCATGCACTTTGTTCTGATGAACATTCTAATCGTGGTGAGCGGGATTTTTCTTCATCTCTACAATATGACGAGCACTGTTGGAATGATTCACTAACATTCAATGGACGTCTATATGCTGTTAATCCTGACTTGTGTGCTAGTAGGGGACAATGTATTTCACAATATCGAATTTATGACGGACATGAAGACTGTGTCGTCCCTTCAGATGAACGTTTGATTTTAGAGAACAGCTATTGTACGGAAAATGTTGGATCATATCGTTTTCAGTGTTTTAATGATGAACACGCATGCCTTCCATTGTCACAATTAGGTTCAGGTGTTAGTGAATGTTCTAATAATTATGATGAAACTTGGTATGGTATGGGCCGGTCTCTTAACGATAAAAGCCAATGCTGGAGAGGAAATACTGAGGACTGTGCTCGTTGGAAAGAGTATATTAGACTATCGTCTACTAAGAATTTTAGTAGCAATAGTTCGATTGCCAATAATCCACAAGAATCGGTAATTAATCAGCTTAGATTTCGATTGTATTGTGACAGCTTCTGGAATTTGAAAGAGCATATTGATGAACTAGCATCTTCGTGTCAGTATTGGGTGTGTCAACAAGATCAATATAGGTGTCAAACAGGACAGTGTATTGATCTCAAGTGGGTGTGTGATGGAGAATGGGACTGTGCGGATGCATCCGACGAAGAAGGCATTATGCTCATTCAAGAGTGGTCGTCTCATAATGCTCGTCTCATTGGTTTAGATGCTCGACGAGAATTATGTCGAACACGATATACTCAATCGCCGTTTTCTGAAATCTGTAACATATCTTTTGAATTCGGATGTTATCTATCACATGTATTGGATCCACTAGATATTCAATCAAATCGCCCATGTATCAATCTTACTCAGATTGGTGATGGAGCGGAAGATTGTTACAATGCTTATGATGAAAAAAACATACTAAAAAGTTTAGCAACTGAAGATATGTTTGGTTTCGATCTCATTTGTGGAAATAAAACAATATCATATAATCTTGCCTGTGCTAAATTTTTGAAGGTAAATTGCAACAGGTTTCTCTGTTCAAATTATCGAGATGTAAATGAATCTTGCTCCGGTACCAATGATGTCATGTGCCTTATAGACAATCATTGTATGAAAGGTGTACGATGCAATGGAGAGCTAGACTGTCCTAACGGAGAAGATGAGTACTGGTGTCCTACTGATTCAGAAAGTCAGCATATATATCGTGTTAAGAAACAAAGAATCATCAAGCAAAGATTTCCATCTATCGCTATTCCATATTATCCAACTCAAAGTAAGGAGATATCTAATCAACAATTAAAATCGATCATCAACTCTCGCAATGATTCTCTATTTATCTCACATTCCTATCAATGTAATCGAGGCATAGCTATTCTTCATATGAATGAAACCGCATGTCTGTGTCCGCCAGCTTACTATGGTCATCGATGCGAATTATTTAGTGATAGAATCAGTATTGTCGTGCGTGTTGATCAGAAAACAATTCCAAAAATAATATCGAACAAAATACTTAAAATCAAGACTGATTTCCTTTTCAACAATACGATTATAGATCGTCATGAATTTAATATTGTTCCGACACTCGAAACCAATTGGAAGATCAAACATAAATTCTATCTTCTCTATTCACGGTCTGCCGACATGCTAAAACATAAGCAAGAACGTTATTTCAATCACATTGATGTCATCAATAATCATCCATATTCAGTTCACTTTGATGTATTTTGTCTTGAAAACAACACTAATGGCGTGAAAGAAATCGGCTCTTGGCATTATCCAATTTATTTTGATTATTTATCTGCATTTCGTCTGGCTGTCGTATTAAAATTTCCGTCTTGGCTATCAAATACCACGCACGGGCTTTGTTTGCCAAATATCTGTAATAAAAATTCCATCTGCATACCCATTTTCAATCAGAATAATTCTTATTATTGTTCATGTAAAAGTGGTTACTATGGAACAGATTGTAGCATGTATGAAAATCAGTGTGAGACGTATTGTTCAGCTAATGCACTATGCCGACTTGATCATTATGTTCTGCATACTAACAAAACGAATCCTTATTGTATCTGTCCGTTCAATCGTTTTGGCGCACGTTGCAACTTAAAATATGATGACTGCAATTCAAATTCTTGTTTAAATAAGGGAAGTTGTGTTCTTACTTATGATCTGAGTGGAGAAACACCCAATATGTGCATATGTTCACAGCAATTCTATGGTCATCAATGTCAATATGAAGTGGCAACTGTCCGCATTAATTTAAATCTAACAAGTACATCATCGATGCGCGCAAGTGTTATCCAATTGTACACTATTGTCGATCAACTAAGTCAACTTTACATTCGCAATCAGCAAGTGTATTATGGTTTGCCATCAATGATTCTCTACAATCATGTTGGTCGTTATGCACCAGAGGTTGGACTTCTCAAGCTTTATGAAGATATTGCAAACCCTCGCTATTTCGTATTGTATATCTTACAACAATCAGTAATCAATATCACTTCGTCTCCACAACACTGTCCACACGCCTCTTCATTATTATCTGAAGGTCAGACTTTATATAAATGAAAATTAATTTCTAACTAATATAGATATCTTTGTAGATGCTAATCGAACTATTCCAGTTGTTTTTATGTACCATGAAATTTGCCAAAATGATAGTCAACCGTTTTGTTTCTATGATGCTAATTATATCTGTATTTGTCAAGAAGATCGTCGTGGTGTCGAGTGTTTTCTTTATGATAATCAAATTGATCATTGTGACAAATGTTTGTCTGATGGCAAATGTCTTCAAGGTGACAAAAAAGTTCCAAATGACTTCATCTGTCTTTGTCCTTCTTGTTACCATGGGTATCGTTGTGAATTCAGTATGCAAGCATTCAGTTTCACGCTCGATTCACTTCTTGTTGATAACTCAAAAAAAGTCAAGATCATCTATACATGTATGACCTGTCTACTCTTCGCTATCGGTCTCTTTAATAATCTCTGTTCTTTCGTCACATTCAAACGACCTAATCCTCGAAAGTTTGGCGTTGGCAACTATTTGTTCGTCGTTACTTGTCTTAATCAAACTAGTTTGCTCTGTTTGTTCTTCAAATTCGTTCAAATCGCTTTTGAAATTTCTGATGTAAGATCCTGTAAAGTGATTCCTGATCTAATTTCTGTGTTGACACGATCTACGTACTGGCTGACAAGTTGTGTAAGGATCGATCGCCTTCTCATGATACTCTATCCAACTTCAACATTTTTAAAAAATCCTCGTCTTGCTATTGAAATAAGTGTGACTACATTAATCATTCTCTTCAGTATGCACGTTCATGAAATTATTCATTATACAATCATTCAACATATTCCTACTAATTCATCGATCTGTGTGGCAAACTTTGACTCTCCTTTTGTTTCAACCTACAATCGAGTCTCTACTCTCATCCATTATGTCTTGCCGTTTTTTATTCAAATTATCTCCGTCACTCTTCTGATTATTCTAGTTGCACGTAATCGATCCAAAACGGTTAGGGATAAAATGACCTTTCGTCAAATATTTCATAAGCAATTTCAGACTCAGAAGGAGCTCTATATTACACCCATAATCATTATTCTTTCTGCTTTGCCTCAAGCCATTCTCACATTCAGTTTAGCATGTACTAATCTAAGCGAATGGCAGCGTCATGCATTACTTGTTGCGTATATACTCTCGTATGCGCCACAAGTTTTTGGCTTCGTTCTTTATGTGTTACCATCAACTAGTTACAAGAAAGAACTCAGTGACACGTCATTTGCTAAGACATCTTTGAAATGGATATTCAATTAGCAAAAGAGTGAGAATTTTATTTCACAGCAACAAAAGTAAACTCGAATGCAACATGAACATTTTAAAATATTTCTAAACAATTTATGGGTTTTCTACTCAAAATGATGAATGTCTTTGAGACTGCCTCTCTATCATTCTACGTTGACAATGAAAAGTCAAAGTTCATTCGCAAGAGAATCGATGCTTTTTGAAATAAATACCTTGAAGAGTTTTATTTGTCCATATCGATATTTAATGAATCCTGTATGAAAATCGATAGTCCTGAAAAATGCTTTGTTACTCTTGCCATTTTTTTAGAGAATGACTGTGAGATAGAGTTACCAATTGAGAGTATGAGTGTGGGTGTGGGTGTAGGTGTGGGTGTGACGGTGTGGGTGGGTGTGGGTGTGGGGGTGGGGGTGGGGGTGTGGGTGTGTGTGTAGTGTGTGTGTTGTGTTGTGTTTTCTCACCTACACCCACACCCACCCACACACCCACATCCCACACCCCACCCATACCCCACACCCACCCACACACCCACACCCTTCAATGTGTAAAAATGAATTTCATCTATACATCATTGACATTTGATCTAGACCCTTGCAACAATATTCTTTAGCTTGTATCATCCAATTCATAATGAGATGCAGATATTTGAATGACTTTTTCAAATATGTATTATCTCTCTAAAAATTCTTACGTATCCAGAAATTCTTACAATCTAACATAATTCATTAGGATCTCTTTTTTGTCAAAGTTACACTAATAGCATTAACTAACTGAAATTCTAATAATCTAGATTACAGCATTCATTCATGTTGCACGCTTATTAATACCAATTAATTGACATATGTTTTCAAACGTATCAATTATAGTTTAATTGTGACTGATCTCATTGGAATTCATACATATGATTTTTACTTTTGGCTTCTATCTAATAAAGTTTAACGTTCTTGTTTTCGTATTAAAATTTGCAATTTTTGATATTCTTATCATTTACAAGATTATTTCAAAATATGGGAATACTGTAATATTTTGTTTTTTCATAGATCTATAAAGATTCTTGTCTCTTATTCAGTCATAATAAGAGGTTCAACAGTTCTTACTAGTTGCGAAGTATTAATTAGAGAATATCAATATAAATAATCAAATATGATTTTAATAAAATTATTCTCTACACCTAATGGACTTAAACATATTTGTGAACTTTGTGCTGGTATGACAAATGTTAGTTCAAACGTTAATAATATTTTAATTTTTTTTTTAGGTACTCATTAAATAAAAAACATTTGATTCTCTGTTTGTTTGTTTTGTTATTGTTCTTTTTTTTTTTCTTATTTTTCTGTTAGTCAAAAATGAAATAAAAAACAACTGATGTATTTCTAGATGGATTCTTATTTTACAAATTGGATCAATCAAAATGATAATCATTCATGGATTGATCAAGCATTTGTCACTATATGATCTTATTGAACAATATTCTGAAAAGATCTTTCAAATAAAATACTATATACAATTTTATGCGGGTAAGATCATGAATTAATCCTTTCGCGACGGGTGTCCCATATATGGGACGGTGACATTTTTCCTTAGATACAGGTATCAAATTGTACTCGAAGTGCAATTTGATGCTTGTATCTAAAGAGCTCTTTCTATTATACAGAGGGAGCCTGAAGACGTTAGAATTTTGCCAGGAGAGACGCACTTTTAGTGTAAAACTTCCATATCTTAGGGGAAATGTCACCGTCCCATATATGGGACACCCAGCGCGAAAGAGTTAAAGGCACTGATTAAACTAGCTTGTAAAAAATAATTTCAGAAATTTTTGATCAAGTTTTAAGAAATTTATATCTCGAAGAGACTTTAGTGGGAAAATTTCAAAATTTTTTTTTGTACAAATTAGTCTAATCGGTATCTTTATATGGGCAAAGCTTCCGATCAATATTCAAAAGTATTATTTCGCTTGAAAACTAAAGTCCTATTGGAAAAATTCGATATCTCAGTAACAAAAGCCTCGAATCACTCTAGAATATTTACTTACTCATTAAACTCTATCGATTGAATATAGTTCCTACTTAAAAGCGATTTATCATTTAGAAACATTCTTTCGTAAGAAAAATATGTTTGTGTCAGGTGATATGTAAATACACGATTCAGTTGTGTTATGTCAAAAGCTAATACACAAATATTTACTTCAGTAGTACCACTCACAAACGTCTCAAGTATAGCCATTGAAACCAGTGCAAATATAATAAAATAAATATAAAAACAATTTTATTTTACTATCAGTAGGAAGTGAATCAAATATTGTATTAAATTACAATGCTCTTCTTCTTAACTAATTATATAGACTAGTAATATATGATTTTTGTATTATCAAAGAAAAGAAAATTATTTGTTTTATTTACTTAGTGACATGGCCAAATATTTCATACATGATTTTTCAAGAATCTAAGTTATTTTCAAGTGTTGGTCTCCTTGGAAATTTACACATTCATATCATGATTCATACAAAAATCGATCATCTATTTTTTTTCGAATAATAACAAAATAAATTTTATTATCATGGATTATTGATTACAATAATCGCTGAAATATGTTATATAAAAAAACCAAAAGAACGCAAAATAATATTTACGTGTATTGTATCAATCGATATATGTAACTTGATATAATGCAATGAAAGTAATAGGAAAAAAGAAATATTACATTCTTTTTTTAATCAACTATAAAGAATTACTATCTTGCAATGTTGCGCTATATTTGTAATTGGTTTTGATTGTTTAAACATATTCAAACTATCTTTGTAATGGGAAGTAGCATGACAATAGAGATGTTCATCTATAGTTATCGATTAAAATTTTCTACTGATAGAGTATGACATCGTGCATTCTACCATATTCCAGAATGGAGATATAAAGAAAAAAATTTTTGCAATACTTGTACCACATGTGATATGATGATAGAAGGGTGTAGATATGGTTTTGAGTGCGGGGAGTCAGTGCTACTGTTAGGAAGGTCGGCATCCACATTCTTAAATACTGAGTCTTTTTAAAATAATGACTGAGCTTTTCAAGCTTTTTATTGAGCAAAACTTAAATAAATTTTGATTATTTTTTTTCTGTAATCTTTTATTGAATATTCAATTTTTCAATACAATAAATGATTCATAAAGATCTAAATAATTATTGAATATAACATTTAATGAACTAATTATTAATGAAATCATCGATGATTTATTTTTATGTCGTCTTATTAAATTTGTCGATCAAAAGCAAAGCAGAAGCATGCCTATATACAATATCAAATCTTTCCTATTTCTAACATGCATTTAAAAGAAAAGAGAGAAAGACAAATATACTGATATGCATTTGGATGGTTTCTCTAAGACATACTCGCTGACTTATTGATTAATTTTAAAACAATATGTGTTTTAAGATTATACATTTTACACATGTGTGTTTCTTTTGTATTTTATCCTTCTGTTAATTTAGACTGATTGAAGATTTTTTTTTTAATTTTGATTGTCATAAGTATTTTAAAGATTTATTTTCAATTATATCTTCACATGTATACAATAGTATTTTGATTATAACAAACAAAAATGAGATGTAAAATACATATGAAAATTTGCTTGTAATATAAACGACATTGATCATTCTAAGATGAACCAGAATTTTGTCCATTATTGCTATTGCTCGTGTAGATAAGACCCGTTGTATTGTCGCTCCCACAATTACCACTGGCAATGATTTCAGCTCCCATATCTAAATAATAAAAATTATTAAATTAAATGAATATAAGATTT